CAGAGAGTGGCCCCTCCGCGCTGTCCCCCGAGACCGTCACGACTTGCAGACAAGAGGAAAGAGGAAACTTCCTTATTTGGGGCGGCGAAGGGGGGAAAACTTGTCAACGTGCAGGTGTAACCCCCCCCACCCTAACCCCCAGGGGCATTTGCGTCTTGAAAAACAGGGCATCGGCTGAAAGTCGCCCGTTCGGTCCAATAAATCCATTTGAATCCGCGCCGACGATCAAGTGGCTTTAAGCATGTCGAGGGAATTTTCTCGCTTTTCATATTATTAACCCTGTCAAAATATTTGATAGGGTTAATACGTACCAATCAACCAAAAATATTTGATTGGTACTTCGGTATATGCATACGAGTAAAAGTCACCGTAGTGTAGGAAATAACTCACTAATAGAAGGGGAAACTTTCTCATGGCCATTAAAGCGTGATCACGGGCAGCCAAAAAAATTTCTGATTTTGCGTGGGAGGAAGCGCAATTATGCCGCCGCTGCGCGAAATGTTTCGAAATTGTTCTTATCCATGCGAGCATTATCCCGAAATCAACAGACGACGATCGTCTCGACCGACGTGAAGGATCGCTCGCATATCCGATCAGACCAAAATAAACGAATGTAAACATTAGAAGCACGAGTATCTCCGGAAATAAAAAAATCCCCAGCGGTATCGATCGGCATCGATCGGTTTTGCAGACATTCATATCATTCCCGGAGATGCCCAAAGGAGACTTTGATGGGATATATGGGGCTATATGGGCACGGTGGAAGGAAATTGAGCAATGAATTTTTTAAGGGTAAGGGAGTATCTCTTTGCCCCGCTTCTTCGGCCTGCCCTTTCTGGCGAATCCTGCTTCATTTCGCGAGGATGCTCAGTTCTTCCACCATTTTGAACCCGTAACAAATTAACGCGAGAGCGTAGCTGGCTAAAATGACAGATTGACGCGAGAAGGATGATTTTTTACGGGACACCAGGATCATTTTCCAAATGGACGGAGATGGATAGTTCGCACCATTGCCTTTCTGAAAAAAAAATTATATATCGTCGATGTGTCCCAGAAAATGAATGATCGGCTCCGGAGAATTCCGCCGTTCTCTAGGACCATTCACGGCGAAGTCCTACGAAGTCGGCATTGTAATCTCCCGGGCTTCGAGCGCCCTTTATGGATCCTGAAGCCCCACAACACCGACTCAATCTATGGTCCTTTGTCGGAGCCAGGGATTCCCCATCGACCAAAAGGAGGAGAAAAGGGCTGAAAAATCTTAGATAAGATGGAATAGCTAGTGCATTTTGCATGATAAAAACCCTCGCCTCCAATATATCACAGCCTGTGTAAAAAAATCTCGTGTTGAGGAGTCTTCTCCAGGCCTTCATTCATCATAATCATGCGGAGACAAAGGGAGCGCCTCGAGAACGACTCGAAACTTCCTGGACGGGGTCAATGGCCTCCTCAAGAGTTCAATGGCCTCCTCAAGAGTTCAATGGCCTCCTCAGGAGTTCGATGGCCTCCTCAGGAGTTCGATGAACTCTTCGGGAGGTCGACGATCTCCTCGGAGCGGTGGATGGCCCGTTGGGACGTTCGGTGCAGACTTCACAGATATCGGATTTTCGTCGCGAGGGAATCCAAGGCGCCTTTCGAAATTCGCCAAAAAAAAAGTTGCAAAAAAGTTCATCTTCTTTACTCTCGGCGATTGCGGAGGAGAAAATAAAAGAGAAAAAAGTCTAAAAAATAAAGATTGCGATTTTTTTCCGTGAAAGAGTTTACTCCATTTACCCCAAAGTCACTCAGGCGTGCTTTATTCGAGCTGAAAGAATCTGGGAATGAATGCGAGACGAGACGCAGGAAGAAAAAACGATACAAAGGCAACTCGAATGCAAGAAGAGAGAGAAAAATCGGAGGTGACCAGATCAGCAAGGCCCATCACGTGGCGTCGGGGGAAATGGCATAAGAGATTCATCTCATGAGGAAGCCGTCGATAATGCGATTTCCTCGGGGCCTGTCTTGTTCACAGACACCCGGAGTCTCTCTAATGCAATCCCCCTTAATCCTATTTCCCCCCGGAGAGCGAAGTCTCTCTCGTCGAGGCCCCGAGACACCTTAATGGAGCAGTCATCCGCGTCTCTTTCATTAAGGATGAATGTGCAGATGAAATGGATGAAATTCCAGATGGGGGTCTTGTGTCTCGCGCGTCCTCCGGGATCATCCCATCGGAATGTCCCGTGCGAGGGGACTGCGTCATTTAAGTTGGCGCTGAATGCATGCTTTTTTCTTTGCTCTATACTCTATCCAATTGTGGAATGGGGGAGAGGAGAGGAGGGGAGGGGAGGGGGAAAGGGAAACGGGAGATGTGGTTCGAGTGTATCTACTGGGATTAAGGATGATGGTTCTCCATTTGCTTTTTACACTTCTTCGTTTCTAAGGCTGACACATGTCTCTTGGAATGCATTAGCTGAATTTCCAACATTTGAATTCGCTCTTTAGAAGGATGCGTCGAAGTTAAAGGGCGACGGAGCTATTTCTGGACTTCTCTATTCTTCAACTCCCCGGGGCCGAAATCGAGAATTTTTTCCCGAGTCCAAGAGAAAAATGACAGCACTCGGGACAATGGCAGTGGATGAAAGGCCCCATCTTTCACGGCTGCGAAGATGGAGCAATTCCCTACGCAGAGAGGCCATGCATGCAACCGGAGGCCTGCAATTCCCCTGCAATTCCCATAATGGGGACGAAGCTGTCTGGCCCCATTTTCCTGGTAAACTCGAGCACGACGGCTGAGACAATATTGCTCTTCATTTATCAACTCGACTGACAAGATATTGCCTATCGCCATTGATATATGACCGGTGGAGAGACCCGATCGAAGAGATCGCGCGATTTCTCCCATTTTTTTCTCCCTTGACGGACGAAGAAGGAAAAAATTCGTAGCAAACTTTATTCCTTCTCTGATCAACAACGTAAGACTGCAGTTGCAGGCTTGAAGGCATCGTTGGCATGAAAGGAGACAGCTCAGCCTTCTGAGAGGTCCCAGTCATCTGCAAATACAAATGTAGCGAATTTACAAATTTGCTTGCGAAAAAATTGCAAACTTACGTGTGGGAAATTTGCTCTTAAAAATAAAATTATTCGAGGCACAGTCTTCACACGAGTACAGAAATAAAAATAATAATGCCACGGTGGAGAAAAAGCGCTCACCACAGGAAAGCAGAATCGAGTGGCCATCACAGCGAACTCTGCTCCGGAAACCTTCACGGACCCCCAGTCCTGTCAGTCCTGTCAGTCCTCTTCATGTACAAATCCCCCCGTTCACACGGAGCTCTCCCGCTGCTCCTCGTCGTCCCCGTCGTTCTCGACGGGGAACACCACGAAGTGCTCCTCCCCCGAGAAGCTCACGTGCATGTTGGGCTGCCTCCTTCCCCACTTCCGAGCGGTGCCGTTCGGCCTGGGCCTGAAGGTCCCGAACACCAGTTCTCGTTCCTGGAAGAGGAAAGGGAGCTGAGGAGATGCATCCTTCAATCTGGATCGTCGCATTTCCATTTTATCGACTCCTTTCCGGTTCCTTTTTCCCCCTCTCTTTTGTGAGATAAGGGCGAGGCTGCTCGATCTGTATTCGGTAAAGGGGATGGGGCTCGAGGGGAGCTCCTCGGGGATTTCGGCTCCAAAGTTCGTATTTGGGTAATTTTATTTTCCTCTCAGATCGTCGCATGAACCCAACGAAGGTGCTGTATGCTGCTCTCTCAAATGACCTTAATGCTTTCTCTTGCGTCTTTCTCTTGCGTCTTTCTCTTGCGTCTTTCTCTTTCTTTCTTCCTCTCTCTATTTCCTTCCGTCTCCCATCCCGCGCGTTATCTCGATACCTTCCGGTCCCCAATAATTGTATGGAGTTGGTGCAATCGGGGAGAAATGATGTGAGACAATTATTGCGGATGACTCCCTCCTTGTGCCATGATCATAAAGCTCTATCTCAGCTTAAAGAAAATATAGTCCGTTTTCATGGCTACGGCCGGAAGGGAATCGACTTCTAGGACGGATTTCCGAGAATAATACAGTGTTAAAAAAAATGCCTTCCATATCCCTTCGGTTTAATAACATCTCGACTCTTCCATCCGTGCGCGATCTCCACGTCATGCAAAATTGAGTTCCGACAGAGATTGCCTTCGAGGAGAGGCCCTGAGGAGGATCCCGCGAATACGCGCAGCCTGCAACGCTCTTCGACTGGCACTGGGGTCGAGCGGGCGAGGCGAGGCTCAGGTTGACACCTGGTCCAGTCGCTTCGATCTGTGTGCATCTGAGCAGCTCGTGCAAAGACAAGATTTTTGAGCTAAGGTGAGGTCTGAATCCAAGCCGTTGGGGTTGTATAACGTTCGATCTTTGCAGAAGCGACCATCGTTCGCAATTGCCGGAATGTCTGAAAAGTTGTCTTTTGGCAGCTGAAATTTATGGGCCAGATAACTAAAAGTATTGTTTGAGGACGGTATGATACATGTTTCGACAACTGAAATGGTATTACGGAACACGCTCAGGGTCTAGCTTCCTAATTCGCGTTTCCAGTATTGTATTCGTAATTCGCAAATCAATTGTGAAGAAAATCAGTGTCAAAGGGGAAGGCAAACTGGCAAGTTCTATCGCCCACATATAGGACTCTCACGGGTTCATATTTCCATACGTAGTAAATTATAATAGTTAATTAGAACGGGCACACTGTAGTACAGTGTGCCCGTTCAAATCTGGAATAGGAAGAGGTAAGCAAAAGGAAAAAATTCAAGGGTTATAGAAAAACTGGTCTATCTGCAATCGATTCTTTTTCGATAGCTTCACACGGAAAGAATGAATAGTCCGAAAACCGTCACCTTAAAAGTGAGGGAAAATGGTATGCGTGAATAGATTAGTTTTCCCTTGACATAAATCTAAAAAACTATAATCTTCAGCGAAAGGGAAAAGGGTCTATGTGCCCTAAACCAAAGAAACTTTTCTCGAGCTATTTCTGCAGATACACCAATTTTCCTTTCAGCCCTTCAATTGAAGTGTCATGAGGCCCTCAAATCAAAGGGAACAGTCGCAGATTAATGGTCAAGCAGGAGGGCATAAAGGAGGATGACAACATCAATCTCCCGCAGGTTGAAAAGCCTCCAAATGTCTCTGAGCATCAGCCTTAGATAGACTCCAATTCTTCCCTCCTCGAAATGTCCGCCAGTGTAAGAAGGTCCCTGAAACTGATGGACTTTTCCATCCTTTCCGCCTTTTTCTTTATGTAACCCCTTGAACACACGTGACGCATCCGTATGCATCATGGAGAAACCATGCTACCGATGCACATGCCGCTCACGGGGGGGGGGGGGAACTATCACGAGGGAAAGCAAAATCAGAGGTAATTGCGTTAAAGTAGAAAACTTTACCGAAAACAAAAAAATGATTTTTATAAACAAAATTCTGGCGTTTCATGGACATGAAATTATCCAACACCTGGCATGTTCAAGGGGTTAAATGTTATTAGCATGAAAAACAGAGATCCAGCAACTCCTGGTCTAAAAGGTCTAAAAAAAGAATTCAATCTCTTAAAGCTCTTACTGCGACCTTTGAACGGTGGAGGGAGAATGAGCTCGAAAATGAATACGCGATTCCGAGAACCTGGGAGACTCACGTGGGAGTGAGGGACGTGGTTGGCGGAGGCCCTGGCCCTCGACATGGTCGCCAGGTGGTGGACGGGAGGCGGCGGGGGCGGGAGGGCGAGGCACGCGTCCCCCTGCAGCGCGAAGCCCACGAAGGATCCACCATGCTCGGCCGCTCCGATGTGATTTACTGCAATCGCATCCATGCATGAGTGGCGTCGTTTGGAGGAACAACAAAGGGCGTAAGACTGATTAATGGACTGGGTGTCAGTCGGGATAGCCCCGCCGAAATGAATGGTACTGGCCTACAAATGCTCTTTTTCGAGCACGAAAGGGTTTCCTCTCCTATTCATTCGTATGGGCTCGGAGCTCCAGGATGGGAAGAAACTTCTCCCCCTGGGATTGCCGTGGTGGATAATCAAAATACAAGCGAAGCGATTAATGGCTTAGCAATCGGTCTCCGGAGATCTCCAAAAGCCAATGCAAGTACTCCAGAGGGACCAAAGGAGTCAGCCTCGGAAAAAAATCCTTCTCCGGGGCAAACGAAGAAACCCAAAAAAAAAGAGAGGAAACTCTCACAAGCACGAGAAAAGGGAAATCGCGCAACAACCCTCTTGAGGGGCATTCACGAACATTGAAGCCGGAACTCATATTGGCCGCAGCAGCAGAGCACTTCATCCCCCTTTCGCGAGGCAATAGGCCAACATCGGTTCCCCTTCTAATACTTCCCTTTCCGTATGAGCAATCACTCCCCATCCCATGAAAAGGAATTGCTCGAGGCGACGAAGAAATATCTTTCGGAAGAGGTATCTAAGCGGAGCTGTTGACAATAAATGAAATTCTTGGCTGAAAGCCAGATCCCTTCAAAGTTTCCTTTTTTCCCCCAGCTTTGGAAATGACAGCCTAGCGTAAACGAGCCATGGTGAACAGGAGAGCTGGCAAACGTTCTCATCAAGCTCCATCGATTTCTCTTTCCCTCTCGTTTTCCTCTCTGTTAGTGTACGGTACTCTCCTCTCTGGCAACCCAGATCCTATGACGGTCATTTCTTTTCATTTCCGTCGGGCGAGAGGCGGGTCATTCGTCAAGATTGTCTGCATCCCCCGTCCCGAATTCCCCCCTTGGGAACAAAAGGAGAAGAAATTGTCCAAGCACGATTCTCCCCGGAGCCCTGGCGTCCTACCTTGGAGGATGATGTCCGGGTTCCCGTCCGGAGCGCTGGGGTCGTCCGTGTCCTTCCTCAGCGGGATGGAGGATTTGTCCTGGGGCAGCCACGTGGCCAGGGTCCGGCTCGTCGCGTTTCGTCGCCGCTTCCGTCGCACTTTTGACACGCAAAATGCCGCGCCGATTCCCATCATGACGACACCGAGTCCGGCGATCACGCTCGCCACGACCAACACGTTCCCAGGCAGGCGAAAGGACACTGAAATTGATTTTGTGATTGTAACATATTCATGAGAGAAATCTGGATGGAGTTGGGGCGGAGATTGAGCCCGAAGAAATGGAGTGAAAAAAAAAATAGAAGTGGGCTGAGATGAGGTCTTTGTAGCATATCAGACGCGATAGGGCACATCCTAATACGTGGAATCCGAAGGGTAGAGCCCGATATGAAAAATTCATGAGCCCTCCTCGCTTGATTCCCTCATTCAAAGGAAAAGAAAATTAGGGAGGAAAGAGAAAGAAGGATCCAGACGATGGAGATCAAGGAAATATGAGCAACAGGGGAAACATTGCCCGAAATCTTTTTCTTCGACCCTCGCCGAGCCAGTCCTTGTCGAGGGTGCAAAAGAATCGTCCGGCACAGATGGGTATGATGGGGCACTTAAATTCTAAGAATGTCTTTCCCCCCTTCTCCTACAAATGACACGAAAGAAGGGAAGGCGGAGGGGGACGGGGGTTGGGGAATCCAGTTACTCACGCTTGCCTTCTCGTGCGGAAGATGATGCAACCCAGAGGACGTCACTCCTCCCTTTGGCATTCTTCCCGTAGATGGCAATGCCTCGGGAGTGGTCCCGGCCCTGGAGATGGAAGACAGGGATGTCCGATGACCGGTTCTCCACCACCCGCTCGCCCTCGTACACTTCCAATTCGAAGACCTGCGGGAGCCCGCCGTCGGTACCGGGCTCGCATCTGAGGACCACGGAGCTTCCGTTCACCTTGTCCTGACTGCAATTCCCCACCGGCATGGGACGCTCTGGCAAAAAAGAAATTGACCATAAATGAAAATATATCGATTCCATCGCACAGTTCGGCCATCCGTCAAAAGTGCACCACTAGCTGTTGCATCCCGAATGCGCCCTAATAATATCGGAAATGAAATTCTAACCAGAATATGAGGTACCTCAAGGAAAGAGCATGTGGCAGCACCGCATTTCATACTCGTGATATTAATTCAATATCGTCTGCAATCCCCAGCAGGGAAACACCTGTGCCCCCCCTCCTACGAATTTTATTTCAAAGTATGAAAGACATCAAGAGAGAACGACGTAGGGTGAACGTCTTTCACGCTAAAGGCCCCCCCAAGTCCCATTGAAATCCTGGAGGAAAACCAGGGAAGCAAGCGATCATATCTGTCGCCGTTTCTCATTTTCCTCGTTCAAGATCCGGGCAGATAAGACCTTTATTTACCATGCACAAACACACAAGAACAAGCACGGCCTGATTGTCCAGCGCGTTTCACGGCTAATCCGCCTAATTGGCCATCCCCTCTCCCTCGTTGCAATCAGCAGGAACCCCATTCCTCATTCGACGGAATCGAAAAGGAAACCGAAACGACAGAAACTCCATGATATCTGCTTCAAATCGATGCAGGCCAAGACAAAACGAAGCCCAGTTCCACATACACCGATCCGATCTCATAAGCCAGCCTCCGATAAATCTCTCATTTGTGCTCTTCTAATCTCCTGCCTTTAGCGATATGATGAATCCCCTCCAATCCACAGAAGGGAAGAGATCCGAAGAATCAACAAGGATCTGGATTGAAAGCAGGAGGAAAATTAATTAAGCCCGATCCCCCGAATACGCACTAGCCCTGCCTTTCCGTCTGACGTATTGCAGCTTCATGTGGAAAAAAGATATCCTTTCTTTCTGACGTCATAATGCGATTCCCAAGCTCAAGGACGTCTCATTGAGCAAGTGGTGCTTAAGTACTCGGATATCCTCGGACCAGACGAAAAACAAAGAAACTGTCTCTCGACCCAGGGAACATCTGCTGCCTCGCGAAACAGCGAAGAGACCTTCCGCGCTGACATCCACCTAGCAGATGACCTTCGAAAAGCTGCTCGTCCTCGAGGAAGATGAGTCATCGACGAGCGAGGAAAGACATAAAAAACACGGCAGGTGCCTGACTTCCCATCGTTCCATGGAGACACGTGGAGCTTCTAATCTAGGTCGCGACTTATCAAAACGCGAGGCTACTCGATTGGCTTTTTTGTCGACGGTGTTGTTACGGAATATGATCTCGGGACGTTAAAACTGTCCGCCAGACAAAAGTAATTCAATACTAGCTGGACAAGCGCAGCCCAGTCGCCGTCCTCCTTCCAATGACCCTTGGGAACAGGAGGATGTGGCGGGCAGTTCGAGAGATGGGAGAAGAGTACAATGTGGAGGACAGCCAGATAGTAAGGAGTTCAGCTAGCAACCCTGTCTACGCTGTTATGTACTGCCTCTCATCGACCACCTCTCCCTTGCCGCTATTGGTTACTATACAGTATTAGTTGCCGACGAATAGGATATATTGGCATGTTCTAATTGGTCTTACGGAGCCGAAAGGGATAAGTTGCTATAGTAGTTTTTCTGACTACAAGGTCATTTCTGCATACAAGGTCATCATTCGTTTCTTTATAAGAAAAAGGCATTTTGTCAGCGACAATGACCACTGTTTCAATGGTTAAATAAGTTTTCATGATCTCAAACAATGACCAACAAATCAACAAATTCTCAACATATGACCCTTCAGGAATATTTATTTCATCAATGTGCCTGCTCACACAGATGAGCGTAAAGCATCGGGAGCGCGATTGCTCTGATTGCGGGTAGGAAATTTCCCTCTGAAATTCATTGAGGGAAAGTACAACATTTTCCATTCCAAAGTGCCTCAGCGAAAAAGGTATTCTCCGCGTAACTAAGAGATTTGGTAGTAAAGAAAAAACAACTTCGGCCCTGGTATCGTTGAGCTTAGTGTAGGAATTTGCATGAAACTCTACTTTGACCAAAAACTTCCCGAGCCAGCTATATCTACGGAACGTTAACCTTTTCCACTCGAATTTTTGCATCACTCATTATACTAATGGGCGAGTATACTCGCCCATTCGAGTGGAAAAGGTTAATATTAGGGTTTAAACATGTGTAAGACAATCGAACTAAATGCACACAATTAAAATAGTCTGGAGTAAATCTCCAAGTTTCTTCACAATTTTGTCTGTTGCATATGAATTCGGTTTCTGCCGATTCCAGACACCGAGAAACGGTCATTACAAAAGCCCCCTTCTTTGTAATTTATTAACAGAAGAAGACGTTCATATGGATTCATATAAAATCAGGCTTCTATCGTTTACCTCAGCCAGGATTGCCCATTCTCAAAAGAATCACAAGCGAGTAGTGATTATTTTCGTCTAACTTAAAGCGATCGAAATGCACGAAATTGGCTGCTGGAGTTTATTAGGTCTCCGATCATCTGGAGTGAATTCATGATGATTAACGAACAGTTGAGAGGATATCTTTGAGATCTATTAATCAGATGAAACTTTGAAAACTCTGCTTGTCAAACCAGTGAAGAGGGCGCTGCCCCTCCTCGACTCCCATCTCTGACGAAAGAACGAGATATGAAAAATCCTGCAGGTACCAGACCTCCTATCCATCGCTTCGTGGAATTCCACACTTCGTATTTGACACAGGCACCATGGCGAGAAGGTTCCTGATTTCAGCTTGGTTTTCTTTGTTGCAGCGTTGTCGCTGTCCCAAAATCCGTGTCCACCGTATGATGACATTGCGCCATGTGTATGCTTTTTTTATTCGTTCAAGGCCATCGATGTTGACTGCAGGAAAGCGCTAACAACCTATGAAATCTCCCATGCTTTTAACAGCGTAACTTGGCCCTTCAAGGAGTTGCGGTGAGTTGATTGTCGGCTTCAGGGTTCAATGGAGGTAGGTTTAATTTCGCATTTTTCAATGGTATTGCCATGAAAACACAAAAATATGGGGGGGGGGGAATGGAAAACATAAGAGAATTAGGCATTTTTCATCCATAGCGTTTGGGCTCGTGATGGGCTTCGAAAACTAGGAGTAATATAATATGCGTATCTCATAACTATTTTTGTCGACTTGGATTTTTACATGTGAATGTAACATTCCAGAATAAAAGCAGTAGTTGCAAGTACCAAATATTCTTGCAGAGGAAATTATAATATGCTCTTAGAAACTGCCTTTCAGCAAATCGAATTGATTACCATTAGAAAATTCTTTAAATTTGCAAGCACTTTAATTTACCGTTCATCACCGATTGCAGGAAGTTATCTGTGCATTATAACATGGAGATGGAAGTCCTTCCAGAAGGGGTTTTTGGGAACGTGTCCTTTCAAGAGATGTATCTCGCAAACGATAATCTTCAAAGCATTCATCCTAGTGCTCTCCTCCCCTCCAAAGATCGACTGGAAATACTAAGAATGGAATACTGTCATCTCACTGACTTCCCCTTTGAGATCATTCCGGGTATGAAAGCACTAAAGCATCTCTACCTGTATAAGAATTCCCTCACCTCCGCCCCAGTCATTCGCAGCGACAGCCTGGAGATCCTACATCTCTTTAATAACCGAATCGCATTCCTTCCAGAGGGCGGATGGTCCATGCCCAACCTCCAGGAATTCCATATCGGTAAGGATCGGTAAGCCGTGAAGCGCACAAATCCAAAAATCATCACTTAACAGTGAAAACCCGTCGGTACAAATTAGAGCAAGAATCGTGAGTGACCGTGAGTCCCTACGGAATCAAGATTTCGAGGTCCTACATTATAATCATTTTCGCAGAAAAATAGAATTTCGCAGAAAACTAGTCAAGACTCTGAGGTAAGTCCCAGCAATATGGTTGGGACCTTCCTCGGTCTTTCCTCATGCATCCCTCATCATACCAACACGCTGGAGATAAATGTCTTATCGTCAGATCATTGAAACACGCTTCGAGAGTTGGCCTATCGTTTTCTCAGTGTGACCCATATTCATGAGCATATCTTCAGCAACATAAGGACTCCTTGAACACATGGAAGAAGTTCGTTCCTTTGAAAATAGGAAAAGTTACCTCCAGAAAACCCTGAAGAAGTTTTTCCTAATTTTTCTCTCAGAAAACTATATCAAATCACTCTTTCCCAGGCCAGTCAATTTCTGAATTCTAGGTTGCTGACATCGTTTGTGCAGGGGCACAATAACAACGGGATAGCTGGAGTTTCTTGAGAAAATTCCTGGATATCAACAAGCAGCTGTAGCAATTTTTTCAGGTCCTAGAAGTCCACTTCTGAGGTGTTCTTGGTTTCCTGAGGGCAGGAAAAGGCTTTGAAATTCTAAAAGGTTGTACCATGACCATGATTTCGATTCGTATCATGAAACTCAGTGACGTCAACGAAAGTGATTTAGTGTAAACTCACCTCGCGAGAATTAATTCCATTTTTTGGCGAAAATCTGTGAGATTCTTGATGCACCGAAGGGTTTTGGACTTGCATTTTCAAGTTTTTTTTTTCCAGGGGAAAACAATTTGGAGGAGTTGCCACATGGGATAGTGACAAGCATGGAAAAATTGATTCATTTTCGAGCCCAAGATGACCAATTCGGACCAGAACTTCGAAGAGACTTTTTGGAATTCAACAGTCCAAATTTGAACATCTTGTATCTACATGGCAATAGCATATCAAGCCTTGAAGCAGGCGCTATTACAGGTATTGCACTTTCATTTTTACACGAAATGTAACATTGAATGACTACATTGTCTTTTTTGTAATCCTACCAGGTCTGAGTCCTAACACAACCATCTTCATGACTCGGAATGCCATCGAAGAATTGCACGAAGCCTCCTTCAAACCAATGGTGGAGATTCTGGCTCAGGGAACTGGCATATTGAACTTGTACGGTATGACGAAACTCGAGCGTAACAGCGTTGCTTCGCATTCACATCTGTGATAGCTCTGCTCAACTCGTGCCCTCACAAAACATGGGGGATCTTATACCAAAAATGCTAAATTGACTAACGCAGAAAAAAAGTCAACTTAGTCACCTAATTAACAGATTCGTCTATTGTAAGCTGAAGGACGTTCTTTGGAAGGATGATTTCGATTGGGAGGGATATTTGATATCTCTGCAGGAAATCCCTTGTCCTGTTAGTGCGACATGGCGTGGTTAGTGACGAATGAAACACTCCGTCCGAAAGTCACCGGAACGTGCAAGTCAGGGACACGCCTGGAAGATTTGGATCCTCAATTCTTCGAAGACCTCTGTTTCCCTGGGAATAAGGATTCCCTATTGTCTAACAATCTCATATCCACGAGTGATTAAAGAGAATTCCACAAGCAATAAAACATGAATGGCGGCAGAAGTTAATTTTCTGATGTCGCGCAAGCAGAAGTAACCACAACCATGCCGAAATATTTTACCTGAATTTCATGACCTTCGCTTCAACAGTGACCCCTAAAGTCATTCAATATAACTTCTACTTGAATTGACGCGTGTCGTCTCATAATGGCGTGAAATGGCATGAAATGGCGTTTCATCATGGCGTGTCATGCTCTGGCGATGAGTCTGAAACTTCTTAAGGAAAATTTTCTAAACAAAGTAGAAAATCGACAATTCCTACAATGTCAAAAAAGCGACGACCATGGCCAAATATCATCGTAACCAAGAAAGAAGCAGGAATGGAAAGATCTGGTACCAAAGAAACATGTAACAACTTGTATTTTTGCTTTGGCATCGCAGATCCTGAAATAGCAAGAACAAAACATGAATTTACCGGATTTGCTGACCACACGGAACTTCAGGGGAACTTCAGGATTAGAGTTCCACAAGTAGAAGCGACGCACAGGCATGAAATGCACAGAATAAAAAACGTTTGGTATTTCTCTCCAAGATTCAGTACATTATTGGCTGCTGTAAAACCAAAAAAATTCTGGGAAATTTTTAGGGATCGGCAAAAATGAATGAAAACTCCTTAAGGGCAGCCGGGTTCAATTCATGATTTTTCACGTGATTAAGCTTGAAATGACACAAAATGGATCTTGTCTTTGACTACAATGCCGAAGAAAGAAGGGAAAATAATATTTCACAAAAGTACCTAAAGAGTTCTAAGTTCATCTTGCGTGAAAAAATCCATCCCTTCTTTTTGACAGCCATAATCCATTTCTCTAGCTCATGGGTAGATAGCTCTAGCTCATCAAGCAGGTAGTTATTATCTTCCTTTTTTTAAATAGTGGTCTAAATGGACGAAAACAGCCGCTGCGGTTCATTGAATCCCCTGTCTCAAATACGTGGCGATTCGCGAAACGGTTGAAAAGATATTCGCCCTGAGATCCACCTTGCGACCAATCAGACTCGACTTTCGAAAATCTGTTCAGCCAACGGAAGAAGAGGGCCGCTGCCCTTCCTCGCCTCACATCGTTTAAGGACGAGGAGAAATGTAGATGCCGATATCCTGCATATAAAACATTTCCCACCCTATCAGGAGATAGCTTCATGGAAATACACCGAGCTTCATACTTGCAACGCGACTTGGGAGCATGTGCACCTGGAAGGTTTCCGGATATTGCCTTAGCTTTTTTTTTGCTGAGAGTATCGTCGCAGGTCCAAAATTCGGGTCCGCCGTATGATATTTTCCTGTCTATATGCAATTTAAATTTTATCTATGCCGTTGATTTCGACGGCACTGGCGCGCAAACGATCGACGATATGCGTAAAGTTATTACCCAGAACCTGAAAACACAGGCCAAATAATGACTGGCATTGTATAGCTTCAAGAGGAAGATGCTTCCTCTAAGGTTTCATCATTTCCCGCTCTAGGTTATCGCATCAAGTAAGAAGTGATTCTATCATTTTATTTTAAAGGAAGATAGCCCCTGGGGTTTATTGTGCTGCGAATACGTGACGATTTGCGACACAGGTGGAAGGATATCTCTTCTGAGATCCACCTTGGAACTAATCAGATACGAATTTCAGAATATTCTCGTAAAACAAGAGAAGCGACAGTTGTCCTTCCTCGCCTTCAATCGTTGACTATAGAACGAGGAAATATATCTTTATGTGGCAGGTGACGGACTTCCTACCCTGGTAAGAATTCCAGGGAGATGCGCCATACGTCACATTTGGCCGATGTATCATGGCGAGAGGTTTCCTGATTTTGGTAGGGCTTTCTTCGTTGACAGGGTTGACATGGGCGCAACCAAGTCCGTGCCCGCCATTTGATGATATTGCACCGTGTGCATGTATATATAATTCGATCGAGGCCATTGATGTTGACTGCAGGAGTGCGAAAACGATTGACGAAGTCTACAATGCTTTCAATAGCGTAACTTGGCCCTTGAAGGAGTTGCGGTGAGTCATTTTTTGGTGTTTTGGGGTTTCGGCGAAGTTGGCTTGATGCAATTCAGATCTTTACAAAGGCAATACAGCTTGTAACCTGATGTTACGTTGACATGCACATTTCCAATTAATATTGTAAATTTAATGTTAGGTGTATTCGTGAATCGCGTCTGAGGCCTTAGCAAACTGTTTCACGTGGTCGCGCAAACAGTACAGTGAGACCTATCTTGCAGAGGGGACAGCAGAACGTTTGGACTCTTGATACAACGGAATCATTGTGCCAGAAAGAGCAAGGGAAAGTATTCCGGTCATTTAATAATGAATATTTTATTCCTTTGTGAACTAGTCGCCAGGTATATAGATTACTTTTTAATTTAAGGCATTACTTTTTGAACAAGAAATTATTTTTCAATGAGTTTTTGTTTGAGATGAACTTTGGATACTACGGTTAAGGTGTTTTCAACCTATTATGGAGGAAAATGCCTTTAATAAAAAAGGACTTTTATTAGACAAAACGGGCTTTCCTACAGTCTAGCACAGCTCATTTTGGTTGCAAATTTGATTTACTGAATAAAAGTCTCTCAAGAGTACTTATAGGCACCAAATTTCCATCTTAGCAGATAATATGATAATAAGAAGTGGACTGAATTAATTGACTTCGAGTGGATTAGTTGACTTTTGAATTCACTGCTTCTTTTTAAAATTACTATTCCTCAATTATTGTAGGACGTTATGGATGAGTCACACGGAGATAGAAGACCTTCCAGACGGAGTGTTTGGGAACGTGTCCTTCCAAGAGATGCGCCTCGAGGGCAACAGAAATCTTCGGAGGATTCATCCGAACGCGCTCCTCCCCTCTAAAGATCGACTGGAAATCCTAATCATGACTACTTGTCATCTGATCGACTTTCCATTTGAGATCATTCCGGAGTTGAAGGCACTTAAGGAGCTTCACCTGAATTGGAATTATCTCACCAATGTCCCAATGATCAACAGCAACAGCTTGGAAAAACTAATTCTCTGGGGAAATCAAATAACATACCTGGAAGACCAGAGCGGCTGGTCCATGCCAAACCTCAAGGCATTTTATCTTGGTATGAGCATGACACTTGAAATGCATCAGCAAAAAAATCACCACTAGGCCTCTTTCGTAAATAAATAAATAAATAAATAAATAAATAAATAAATATATATATATATATAGTGAAAAGGAAATACCAAAGGTGCCTGTCCTAATAATAATAATAATTATTATTATTATTATTTAAGTACGAAGTGGACTCATCTGCGTACACCAGCCCATGCAATGGGCATAGAACAGGATGCTTCTTATCTAAGGAATTTTTAATTGTAGTGGGATGGATTCCCCCATTGCCTAGATTGGTTTGGGTGGGACAGGCACCTTTGGTATTTCCTTTTCACTAT